TCCAAGTTAATTACTTACCCATTTTCCGGAATCCCATAAAGAAACTAGTGCCAGCGTTTCAAAAGAGCTTGGTGCATGGGAAGAAGTGCATTGCTGTCATTCATTATAGTCAGATGGAATAGCCTTGAAAGCAGCAAACATTCTTTATAATATCAGTTACCCAAACCAAGAATGTGGAACTTTGGGTGGATTTCATCAGTGAATGTGCACAAATTCCAAGACTTTTTCCTCTATAGGAGCAGAAATTCCTATTCCTGGCTAGCACTGAAAACCTCTTGTGGAGTGGATATGACTTTTATGTGGGTGCAACTGCAATCATTCATAATTTCCCTCTTCCTCAATCTTCATGATGAGTTTCTCCTGTTCCAAAATGTGGGGTCTCCAAGAGAAAGTAATGCTCAAGATAAAAGCATAGCCACTTTGTTTTCATTGGGAGAGCCAAGAGCCATTCCTCTTGAACTTCATGGGTCCTGCTGTTCTCATTTTCTCTCCATCTCTCTTTTTTCCAACTGTAGCAGACATGTTCATATGTCTGTTGGGTTTGAAATGACAGAACAGCCCCTTATTGATATCTGCTACCATCACCAAATACCAAGCAATAGACTACCCTTCAATTTTTTGTATGTGCTTGTGAATTAGCTGAGGGAGGGTAGGGTCAGAACTTCATGTGGTATACGTATGACTACCATATACTAACTTGTTATAGAAAAATACATAGAGATAGAGATCTAAATATATGTATGGCAGTGCTTTGCACCACTTGTCATGTCTTTGTATCATACAAGTTTGGCCTAAACATAAATTGAGCTTCCTTTTTGTATGTATGGAAATGTAGAGAGTAATACTTAAATAGGTTGAGTCTATCGAGAAGAAGGTTTACCGAGAGATACAGTTACCAATGAGATATGAGTCCAACCATATAAGAGATTGTTACCACTGTTTATCTAAAACTTTAAGATAATCAATGAGATATGAGTCCAACCATATAAGAGATTGTTACCACTGTTTATCTAAAACTTTAAGATAATGGATTAAGAGGCTTTCAACTTTATACATCTCATTTTTATCCGATGTGGGATTTAAATTCATACTTAGATTCCAACCAAATACGTTCACACTTGATTTCTATGTTTGATCCTGAACAGCTAGGCATGTGTGAGAGTAGTCACATCAAGTAGAGAGATATGAAGGTGTGAATATATGTACGATTAGCATTATTAGAAATGTAGTATGACAGTGTTAGAGAAGCATTGGGAGACATTGTTGACATAGTTACAGGTAGGTGTGGGGAAGTGCATAATTGAGCAGTGTGGAGAGTGGACACATAATGTGCAAAGGGTAGGGAATGTGGGGGGAAAAAACAAAGAAGATTTGGTTTATAAGAGGGAAGACAGCTGTAAAAGGACCCAAAAAGAGGAATTGTCATAATACATTCTCACCTCATCTTTTGAAAAAGAGTTAAGTGTAAGAGAGAGAGTTTGGTTTGGTTTGGTTTGGTTGTAGCTAGAGAAGCAAAAGGAGAAAGTGTGACACTAGAGTTTACTTACAAAACAAGTGTTGGATGGTGATGAAAATAGATGGTTGTCTAGTGGAAAATAGACTAATCATGCAGGTTTTGTTAGCGTTGTCCATCAGGACCATCTCTAACTGCAGCATTAAATGAGAGGTTTTGGAGACATCACGTTTGAGAAACTAAATAGATCAGAACATTGTAAGGAAAATGTTGAATGAAAACGAAATTGCCTTCACACCAACTCAAATAGTGTTTGCTGCACAAGGGTTTTACTTAGATATCAGAGGATTCAACCCCTTATTAGTTACTTTCACCCAATCTCCCACTTTGGCACTTTTGTTTATTTTTATGAAGAATTAAATTGCTAGTATTATTATGTTTTATGTATGTGAAAATTAGTATTATATATATATATATATATATATATATATAATATCAAGTAATAAAATCCTATATTAGCATGATTACACTACTAAGTAGAACATTTAGATTTGAATAAGAAATATTAACAAACACTTAAATTTAAGGCTTTATTATTTGTTTGATTTTCACTTTGGGTGGAGGGTTTAACTTGGATCCTCAATTTTAAAAAAGTTTTAATTAGGTTTTAATTTTTGAAAAAGTGATTTAATGAGGTATTTTTTAAAAAAAATTACTAATAATATTAAGGATATGTAACATGCCAATTCATAATTTTTAATTTAATTTATAATTCTTTTAAATATCAAATATCATTATCTTTATTTTAATTTAATATATATATATATATATATATATTAGTTTTATTTATTTTTAAATAAAATAATAATGTTTCTTTAAATTAACACAAAATTTATTGTTTATAAAAATATTATACTAATATTTATATTAAAAATAACCTTTTAATATATTATATTATTATACATTATTAATTCATTCTGTTTCCACTGGCATTACTTTCAGAGAAAACAGGTTTTGAATATATCAAGCATCACAAATGAATGCTCTTAACATCGTATGGATTTCGTGGTCCAACTAGATAATATTTTAAGTAAACATAATATTTTAACATTTTAATATTAACAAATATTATCTATAAGTTTCAATATTATAAAATTTATTATTAAACTAATAAAATGAGTAGTGTGATACAGAAATATTAGAAAACTAAGTATATTATTTATATTTAATGTAATTAAAAAGTAAACCAACTAAACAAAATAGCTGGAATCGAAATTTTTTGTTTAAATTAGTTTATGACAGATTGGAAAACAGAACAATGATCAGAAAGCTGAAATAAATCTGTATATATAATGATAGTAAAAACAAATTAAAAGAATATCTTCAAAACAAAAGGTCTTGCCATTTGTAATTTGTAGATTATGCTAAGGTGAAGAATGACAGATAAACTTTTTCATTGTTATTGTTTCAACTTGTTATATTTTTTTTATAGAGAATTCTGACATTATCCAGTATAAATATAAATAATACTTAATTTTTTAAATTAATTATGTAGGTATGCATATATTTATTTCGTTTTCATTTTTATATATTTTTTGTTTTAAATTCTAAATAATTATTATTTATTTGTAACTCAAAATAAACCGAAATCTTTAAAATACTTTTTCTTCTTACAATTTTAGTTACATAATTTTTATTTACTTTTATTTTTGTATAGTATTTTAAAAACTTATTTTTTTGATATTTTAAAAACTTCTAGTTCATTGAATCAATAACTTTTAAGATAAAAATTTGAATATTTTATCACAACTTTAATTACATTCTTTTATGATTTTATTCAAATTAAATACAATTCTCAATCTCATTAAATTAGTATTTCATTATTCTCACCTACTTTTTATAGTTATTTTTATTTTTGTTCAATTATTACTTTTTATTTTTGATTTAATATTTATATAATTATAATATATTTTTAATATTTGATAATGAAAAAAATGTGTCCATTAAATCATTAATAATATCATGTTTATCTTATTTTAATTTTTATGTTTTTATAAAAATAATTAATTAATGTGTAGAATCATAAATAAATGGATATAGCTGTATATATAAGTGCGTATATTACTTGAGAATGATGAAACAAACTTATTATCTATAAAAATGCATATACAAGGAAAATGGATATGTGGATGATAAATTTACTTTTTTTTTCATTTCTATGTTATAATGGAAGATAATGGATAACATTTGATTTTATATGTTTTTTTATATATTTTTATGAATAAATTAATTCATTTTTTATCTTGTTTTTCCCTAAATTCAATGTGTTTTCATGTAAAATAAGTAAAATGAAAGCAATAATGGTCAATAAAAACAAGATAAAACTCAAGAAATAATGTTTTTCAGACAAATCTCCATTCTAAAGACATTAGAATCGCACCCAACACTGCAAACATGAAGAAAAGACTCATCTATAAGGATATATTGTCATGGGTCGCCTCCAAACAACAAAAGAATTATCATTGTGTGTCAGGCTCACTCGTTGGGTGAGATGGATGCTCATTAGACAAAAATAATAGCCCAAATTTCTAGTCTTCGAGACATTAGACTCATTTTTTATTTTATTTTTGGTTTACTGCTTCATGTTTTTTAAACTGAGGCAAAATAACCACCTTTTTGCTTTGATTTTTGAATCGAGGCGAAAAGTCCTGACTTTTTATCTCGTTTGAATATACTTTGGTTCTACAACTGTCGTCGTAAATATAAAATAACTGTTATCATATCTTTTAGTGCACTAGTGTATGGAGCTCGGAGGGTTGTAGATATTGTTGTACGAACATCAGAAGTTAGATATCTTACACGTAGACAGACTTGTTGAAGTTGTTCAACATGTTGTTATACGTTGAATAGATTGTGATACCATTAGAAGAATTTTAGTAAATACCCAGAAAGAAATGATGTCGAAAAGTAGTTGAACACAAACATTAATTGGTTGTGTATTAGCAGACGATATATATATATATGTTTACAATGCATTGTCATTAAAAAAATCAATATATTAGAATTGGACTTTTCAATTAATTTAAAACCTTTCAAACACAAGTAATATTTATAAGAACTTCTTTCACATGTAAAAATACTATTGATTGTGTTATAGCCAAAGTCTTATAACTTTGTTTATTATTAACTTTTTTAAGGTTGAGATCGAGATATTTTTTTTACTTCACAAAAAGAAATGCACTATAACACCTATATACACACCGATAGAAAACTAAACTAATAAATTCCCATCTCATATCTATTTAGAGTATCAATTTATATGATGATGATCTGCTAAATGGAATAAATGCATACACTCATGTCTTATTTGTCTTATTTGTGACAATTATATTAAAAGATATTTATTAAAAAATATAAATATAGTTAATTATTATTAAAGTTAAAAAAAACAAAATTAAGATATTATTAATATTTCACAAGTTCTATATAAATAAAGTACATCCATAAAATAAATAACCAACTATTTGTTATAATACATCTCACACATCTAGAAAATATCAAAAATATCATAATCTCGAGATTGATAAGTCCCAGTAACGACTTCAACTCCATTATTTGTTTTCAAAATTCGTAAGATGTGAGCCATTTGTTCTGAAGGAGATTCCGTTATATGCATTTTTCTCAATCCATTCAAAGAACAGAGTTCACTTGGAAGATTATCTAATTCTTTGCAATTGTCAATAAGCACATTTTGAAGCCTCTGCATTGCACCATTGCCTAATTCCCACTTTCTAACTGCCAAATGACTCATTCGAAATATTTCCAGTTGTGGGAAGCTTTCATCAACACAATTGAGGTCAATGGAATCCCCAGACCAAGTTATATCTCCCAAAAGTTTCAAAATTTTGAGTTTGGAGTGATTTCCCAGACTATTCATCCCCTCGTTGGTAATCCACTTAATCCCTGACAACATTAACTCTATAATGTTTGGAGGGAAAATGAGCTCAGAGGTCAGAAGGTCCACAACATTATCAATCATTAAAATAGTTAGACAACTTAATTGTCCTAGGCTTTGAACCAGTTCTTTCGGCTTGCAACTAAGCCAAAGTTGGGGCACAATCACTAATTTATTTAAATGCTTTAATTGTTGCAAGTTCTGCAATAAATTGAGTAATTTACCTTCATAATCATGAGCCTCCACAAGTCCCATCCTCTTAATATTGGGGAATGTTCCTTTCGTTATTAGCGATGTTGCTTGTTTATTGAGTATAAGGGGAGAGATAGTTTGAAGATTCCACATCTTCTCATCTGATTGTGAACATGTTCCTCGTAACTTGATAGGTCCTTGTGTGTTCAAATGCCTTAAATACTTGAGTTTCCACATTTGAATAGGGAAAGAAACTATAATGATATCCGTCGAAAAACCCAGGTCTATGGTTTGCAGATTCCAAAGGTTAAGTATTGAATCGGGAACAAATGAAATCAGCTTTGAGTGTATTCTCAAGTACCTTAAGTGGATGAAGTTCCCTAAACTGGAAGGAATCTTTTGGTAACTGTTAGGTCCAAAATCTAACACTCGAACCAATTTGAAGTCGTCCAAAAGCCATTTCCACTCTTTCCCATGAACATCATAGTGTGGCCCAAAGAAAAACAGGGAACGAATACATGAATGGTCGTTGTTGCTTGAAGAAATGTAGTGACCCATGTCACTGTGAATGGACAGTCTGCGAGGTTTAGTAGGGATTACAATGTTATTGTCTGTGCAAACTTCGAAAACTTTGTCTTCTTTAATCTTTTGCATGCAAAGATCTCGAAGAAGATCGTGAACCTGACACCTATCCAAACCTCGATTAAACTTCACTCTTGTTATTTGGACCAAACTACGATCGATGAGCTCATACAAGTAGTCTTCCGCAACATCATATGGGTCTCTATCTCTTGTATCTTGTATGAAACCCTCCGCAACCCATTTTTGCAATAATGGAGTAACATGTATTTCAAAGTCTTGCGGAAATAAGCCAAGATAGAGAAAACATGATTTTAGTCTCCTTGGTAAGTTGTCGTAGCTGAGCTTGAGAACTATATCGTTCACTTGGGTCTCATCTCGAGTGATATACCAATTAACATGACCTACCACTTTAGACCATTCTTCAGATGACTTTTCCTTGTTGGCTAGCAGCCCTGCTAAAACCATGATGGAGAGCGGCAAACCATGACAACTTTGAACCATCTGCTTTCCCAGGGTCTCCAAATCAGAAGGACAGTTTTCACCCCTAAACACTTTCCTGCAAAACAACTCCCAACTTTCTTCTTGACTCAGGAACGGAAGATTGTGAGGAACATCATGGCCAGCATGCTTGGCCACTTCTGTCAAACGACTAGTGATCAATATTCTGCTACCTCTGTTGTTGTCTGGAAAAGCATCTTGCACCTCATTCCAATCCTGCCTTTTCCACAAGTCATCTATCACCACAAGATACCTTTCCCTCTCCAAGCATTTCCACACCCGTTTCTTCAGCTCCTCCTCACTCAGGCTGTTAACGTCTTCGGCCCTTTCCTTATCTTTCTCGTGGCCTCTGCGTTGTTCTTCAACATTTTGCATCAAATGCTTAAGAAGGTCATGCAAAAGCTCCCTGACTCTGCCCTCGTTTGAGACATAAACCCACGCACGACAATCAAAGTGGTTCTTCACCTCGCCGCTACTGTAGACCTTTCGGGCAAGGGTGGTCTTCCCCAATCCCCCCATGCCAACGATAGAAACAACTTTACGATTTGAACCACCTTCCAGGAGTTGCTTGACGAGATCCTTGGAGTCCTGGACAAAGCCAACAACATGTTCTTCCTCCACGTCTCTTCTTAGCTTGTGCAGCGATTGCAACCTTTCCTTCTCCTCCTCCTCTTCTGTTGCAGATTGATTAGTGGTTTCTCTGAAAGCATCATATTTGTCCTTGTTGTCGCGTATCTCGTTGAGAGTGGTTTTGAGCTTGTCTATTTTGTGGGCTACGTGGTGGAGCAACCTTACTTGGCCAAAGCCACAGAGCATCCTCCCCAGAATGGTTCTCCTCTTGTGAATGGAAACTTTGGCTACGAATGTGTCGATGACATCCTCAGCTAAGTGGGCAACATCTTTGATTTGGTTCAATACTATATGTTCCATTCCCTTCTTGCGCGTTGTGGTATCGAGGAGCTCTTTGATCATTTCGAGTTCCGACTTGAGGAACTGGACTCTATCCTCCACACCATACAGCAAGTTAGCTTCGCGTGCGGAAAGCTGGGCCAAGTGATCTAAAACAAAGGTAACTACACTCTCTGCCATTACGGAGGAGACGTGCCTGCAGACCTTGATCCGTGTTTGTGGATGGTGATGGAAGAAGAGTGACAGGGATTTACTAAGGCAGCAGAAAAAGCAATAGAGTGTAGCTTGCAATCGCATAGAAAAGAATATCCAAATGTAACCATGAAAAGTGGCTCCAATAATACAAAATTTATAAAGACTTGGGTTCAAGAGTTCTAGTTTTATTTTTGCATTGACTTTGCGTCAACCATGACTACTTTTGAAGTAAAACTTCCCATGAGTGCATAATGTGAGTGGCGTGGCACCTTCCTCTATGTGCATTATTGCACCTTCTAATTTGGCTTAGAATATTTATATTTATGACAGTACTGTGTTCAGTTTGTTTCGTGGTTATTAGATGTCATCGAATAATATAAATGTAAGAGATTGATTTGTTGTATTTCGTCGACGCCGCTGAATTGACTTAATATATATCCTAACAATTTCACATCACTAATATCTCATATTCACTAAATAAAATAGAATAACTTATTAATATACTAAATATGTCAATTAATTTATTTTGCTTAATTTGTAACGTCAAACTAAATTCATTAAATGGTTTAAACGAAAAATAAATACAAATTTTAATGCATTTTTTTTGTTTATTGAATTTTTACAATTTGTTTGATTTTTACAATTTGTATGATATATATATCTTTCACTCTATAGAACAATTCCATTTATATACTCAACCAAACCTTTCTCAATTTCAACTCTGATAAATTTTCTGAGTTAGGGTTTTCTACAAAAAAAAAAATTCACTTGGGTTAAAGGATTATGGTTTTATTGGTCCATTGACTTTGTGTCAATCGTTACTACTTTTGAAGTAAACCTTCTCCTTTAGTGCATAATCTTCTTAGCGTGGCACCTTCCTGCTAAGTGCATTGCACCTTCTTCCCATTTGCCTTATGATATTTACGTCTACAGCAGAACAACATTTTCAAATCGCTAACATAACAGTCCAACCTTTGTCTTATATACTTTAAATAGACGTTGACGTGCTGCTTGGATCAAATTGATTAAATGTATATCCTGACAACATCACTAATATCTCTTATATTTAGGTAAATTTAGTCTACACATATAAATGCTTATTTAGAAATAAAAACAAAATCACATGCAAACTTTTCTAATTTTGTATAAAATAATGGTCATACAAATAGAAAACATATTAAAAAATATTTTTGAAGTGAAAAGAAATTTTGTAGGTCTATGAAAATTTGAGGATGCAAAATATATCAAATATACTAAAATTAAAAATTAAAAGTTTTATTTTATATACTGATTTATGCATATGTAAAAGATATTTAGGATATCCTCGACTCCATTCAAACATAAGAAATCTTCACCATTAATAATAATAATGTACAAACCATTGCATCAAAATATCATACAAATGAAAGAATTAATAAATTTTTATAAATCATCGTATCAATGCTATAATAAAAAAATTCAAATATAACTAAATATTAGGTACCTCAGACGAAAAATGGGAAGGCCAATACTAATAAGGATAGCAACAACCGTCGAGAGGATGAAAAATAATCAAACTTTGTGCTAAAGTGGAGGTGCAAATTGGAAGCCTTCAAGCTTCACAACAATTAGAGTTATCAAAACGGGCAACCGACCCGGTCCATCACGGGTGAGTCAACCTAACTCAATTTATTTGTTAACAAACCAAAAAAATTTGAATCTGATCCGACCCACCATGGGTTGACTCATTGGCTTACTTAATTACAATTTTTTTAAATAAAAAAAATTACAAACCTTCTATAATTCAAATCTAAACAAATTTCACTTCTAATAAGATGTTTAATTAATTTTGAAAATAAGGGATTTAAATAATTTTTTAAAAACTAATTATATTTGTAACCGTATATTATATGTATTAGCTTGATGAAATGTTAGATATTATTAAATATTATTAGATATTATGAGATTATGGTATATATCATATCATGTAGATTAATAATGCAATGAGCTTAGATTTTTTTTTTATGATTTTTTATAATAAATACACTAAATATGAGTATTTTTATGAAGAACTAAATTGCTAGTATTATTATGTTTTATGTATGCTAAAATTAGTGTTATATATGTAATTATGTTAATGTTAATATCAAGTAATAAAATCCTATATTAGCATGATTACACTGTTAAGTAGAACATTTAAAATAATAAGTATTAACAAATATTTAAATTTTAAAACTTTATTTATTGTTTTGTTCTCATTTAGGTGAAGATTTTAACTTTGTTTTCCATTTTAAAAAAGTTTAAATTGTATCTTAATTTTTTGAAAAGTGTCGTGATTAGTTTTTTTTTTAAAAAAATTACTAATAGCATTAATAACATGCTACGTGCCAATTTATAGAATTTTAATTTAATTTATAATTTTTTAAATTTAAAACTTTTTTTTTTGTAAATTTTTTTTATTGTCATGTATAAATTTATGGTATGACATATGAAAATATTAAATATCATTATTTTAATTTTAATTTAATCTTTATATATATTTCTTTAATTTAATTTAATTATATATTTTTTAAAATAAAATAATAATATTTCTCTTTAATTAATATAGGACACTGTCAATATCAAATATTATTATCTTTATTTTAATTTAATCTTTATATATATCTTTTTAATTCAATTTAATTCTACTTTTTTAAATAGAATAATAATGTCTCATTAAATTAAAATAAAATTTATTATTTATATAAATGTTGTATTTTATTAAAACTAATATTTTAAAATATATTATATATTATTAATATATGGTTGTCAGTATCATTATTTCAGGGAAAAGAGGTCTTGAATATATTAAGCATCACAAATGAATGTTTTTCATTTATACTTGCTTTTCATATGTTCTTAACATCGTATGGATTTCGTGGTCCACTAGATAATATTTTTACTTAGACATAATATTTTAATTAGTTAAAGAATATTTTAATATGAACAAATATTATCTATAAGTTTCAACGTTTTAAAATTTATTGTTAAACTAATAAAATGAGTATAGTGATATAAAAATATTAGAAAACTAAGTATTAGATATAAAAATATTAGAAAACTAAGTATTACATATTAGTAAACAAAATAGCTGGAGCCGAAAATAGAAATTTTTGCCTAAATTAACTTATAACAGATAGGAAAGCAGAATATTTATTAAAAAACTAAAATAAAACTGTATATATAATCATAGTAAAAACAAATGAAAAGAATATCTCAGAAAAAAAGGTCCTCTAGTTTGTAATTTGAAGACTATGCTTAGGTAGAAAATAACAAATAAACTTATTTATTATTAGTTATAATTTTTATAGAGAATTCTGCTATCTTATTTGTTCCTATTATATTAAAAAATATTTATTTAATATCTTATTTAAATTAATTTTTAACAAAAACCTTTCAATATTTAAAAACTATAAATATAGATAATTATATATTATTTAAACTTAAAAAATAAAAATCAAAATATTATTAATATTTCATATTACATTTTTTTACTCTATATAAAATACATCCATAAAAAAAGTAACCAACTATCTAGTATAATAAATCTCACACTTTTAGTAACAATTTATGCTACATTATTTAAGTTTAATTATTTTTTTAATAAATTTAAATATTTTTAATTGAATTTTCATTATACTCTTTTATGTTGATTAAATAAAATGTTTATATTTAGCCTCTTCATCTTGTTTATTTTTTTCTATCCAGTCACCTTCCTTATTTTTTTTATATGTTAAAAAAATATAAGGTTTGACAATTAATTAGAAATAACATTGTTGTTATAGTAAAACAATAAATATTTTTAATAAAAAATTTGTTAAACTACTAAATTATCATATTTCTTAATAATGTTTACAAGATAAATAATATTATTGATGTAGATAATCACGACTGGGATATGAATTGGATAAAATCTTCTGCTGCCTTATACATAAAAAATGAGATATGTCGTTTGGAATAAATGTCATCATTCCAAGGTGAAAAATCTCCTATAACGACTTGAACTCCATTATTTGTTTCCAAAATTCTTAAGATATGAGTCGTTTGTTTTGAAGGAGAGTCCGTTATATGCACTTTTCTCAATCGATTCAAAGAACATAATTCATTTGGAAGATTATCTAATGATTGACAATCATGGATAATCACATTTTGAAGCCTCCGCAATGCACCATTGCCTAATTCCCACTTTCGAAGTTTCAAATATTCCATTTGCAACACTTCCAGCTGCGGGAAACTGCCACTGACACAATTAAGGTCAATGGAATCTTCCGACTTAAGTGGATTTCCTAAAAGTCTCAAAAATTTGAGTTTGGAGTGATTTGCGAGACTATTCATCCCCTCATCAGTAATGCACTTAATCCATGACAACGTTAACTCTGTAATGTTTGGGGGAAATATGACTTCAGAGGTTAGAAGGTCCAAAACATTATCAATGATTAAGATAGTTAGACAACTTAATTGTCCTAGGTTTTGAACCAGTTTTTGGGACTTGGAATCTAACAAAATCACCAATTTATTCAAATGCATTAATTGTTGTAGGTTCTGCAATAAATTGGGAAATTTACCTTCATAACCATGATCCTCCACATCCAACCCCATACTCTTAATATTGGGGAATATTCCTTTCCCTATTAGCAACGTTGCTTGCACATTGAGTATAAGGGGAGAGATGGTTTGAAGATTCCACATCTTCTCATATGAGGATGGTGAACATCTTCCTCGCAACTTGATAGGTCCTTGTGTATTCAAATGCCTTAAATATTTGAGTTTCCACAATTGAATAGGGAAAGAAATTGGAACGTCATACCTCCAAATACCCAGATCTATGGTTTGTAGATTCCAAAGGTTGAGTATTGAATCTGGAACAAATTTAGCATGCTTTGAGTCTATTCTCAAGTACCTTAAGTGGATGAAATTCCCTAAATTGGAAGGGATCTTTTGACACCTGTTAGGTCCAAACTCTAACACTCGAACCAATTTGAAGTTGTCCAAAAGCCATTCCCACTCTCTCCTACGAACATGATAACGTGGCCCACAGAAAAACAAGGAACGAATGCATGAGTGATCATTATCGCTTGAAGAAATGTAGTGACCCATGTCACTATGAATGGACAGTCTGCGAGGTTTGGTAAGGATTAAAATGTTATTGTCTGTGCAAACTTCAAACATTTTACCATCTTTGCTCTCTGCTATGCAAAGATCTCGTAGAAGATCATGGACCTGACATGTCTTCAAACCTCCATTAAAATTTACTCTTGTTACCTGGATCAAACTGCGATCGATGAGCTCGTACAAGTAGTCTTCCGCAACATCATCTGGGTCTCTATTTCCTGTATCTTGTATATAGCCCTCTGCAACCCATTTTTGCAATAATGGAATAACAGGTATTTCAAAGTCTTCAGGGAATAACCCAAGATAGAGAAAACATGGTTTTAGTCTCCTTGGCAAGTTGTCGTAGCTAAGCTTGAGAACTATATCCTTCACTTGGGTCTCATCTCTAGTTAGATACCAATTAACATGACCTACCACTTTAGACCATTCTCTATGTGACTTTTCCTTCTTGGCTAGCAGCCCTCCTAAAAAAATGATGGAGAGCGGCAAACCACGACAACTTTGAACCATTTGCTTTCCCAGAGGCTCCAAATCAGAAGGATAGTCTTCACCCCTAAACACTTTCCTGCAAAACAACTCCCAACTTTCTTCTTCACTCAAGAATTGAAGATAGTGAGGAACATCATCACCAGCATGCAAGGCCACCTCTTTCAAACGACTAGTGATCAATATTCTGCTGCCTCTGTTGTTGTCTGGAAAAGCATCTTGCACCTCATCCCAATCCCGCCCTTTCCACAAGTCATCTATCACCACAAGATACCTTTTCCTTTCCAAGCAGTTCCACACATGTTTCTTCAGCTCCTCCTCATTCAGGCTGTTAACGTCTTTGGCGCTTTTCTTAACTTTCTTGTTGCCTCTGCGCTGTTGTTCAAACTTTGGCATCGAATTCTTAAGAAGGCCAAGCAAAAGCTCATCAACTCTACACTCGTTTGAGACATAAACCCATGCACGACAATCGAAGTGGTTCTTCACCTGGTTGCTATTATAGACCTTTCGGGCGAGGGTGGTCTTCCCCAATCCCCCCATGCCAACAATAGAGACAACTTTACGATTTGAACCACCTTCCTCGAGTCGCTTGACGACATCCGTGGAGTCCTGGACAAAGCCAACCACATCTTCTTCCTCCACGTCTTTTCTTAGCTTGTGCAACGATTGCAACCTTTCCTTCTCCTCCGCCTCTTCTGATTCAGATTGATTATTGGTTTCTTTGAAAGCATCATATTTGTCCTTGTTGTCGCGTATCTCGTTGAGAGTGGTTTTGATCTTGTCTATTTTTTTGGCTACGTGGTGGATCAACCTTGCTTGACCAAAGCCATGGAGCATCCTCCCCAGAATGGTTCTCCTCTTGTGAATGGAAACTTTGGCTACGAATGTGTCGATGACATCCTCGGCTAAGTGGGCCACATCTCTGATTTGGTTGAATACAGTATGTTCTATTCCCTTCTTTCTCTTTGTGGTATTGAGGAGGTCTTTGATCATTTGAAGTTCGTACTGGAGAGACTGGACTCTGTCCTCCACGCCATACAGTAAGTTAGCTTCGCGTGAGGCAAGCTGGGCTAAGTGATCTAAAACAAAGGAAACTACACTCTCTGCCATTACAGTGGAGACGTGCGTGTAGATTTTGATGTGTGATTGGATATTGTGTTTGTGGATGGTGATGGAAGAAGATTTAGTAAGGCACCAGAAAAAGAAAAATACAGTGTAGCTTGCAATCTCATAGAAAAGAGTATCGAAAAATGTATAATATGAAAAGTGGCTGCAATAAAGAATTTATAAAGACTTAGGTTAAAGGGTTCTGGTTTTATTGGTCCATTGACTTTGCGTCAACCAAGACTACTTTTGAAGTAAACCTTCCACTTGAGTGCATAATCTGAGTAGCGTGGCACCTTCCTGCTATGTGCATTGCACCTTCTTCCTATTTTCCTTACGATATTTACATTAATAACAGAACAACATTTTCAAATCGCTAACAAGAACCTTTGTCTTATATACTTTAAATAGACGTTGCCGTGCTGCTTGGATCAAATTGATTAAATGTATATCCTCACAATTTCACATCACTCATATTGAAAATAAGATAGAAAAACTTATTAATATACTAAATATGTTAATTAGTTTATTTTGGTTAATTTGTAAGATAAACTAAATTCATTCAAAGCTGAACGAAAAAAACGGGTATACTCAATTGAAATTTAAAAATAATAAATTTTCTATAGAAAGTATTATGGTATTCTATGAATATTTTTAATTGTCAAAAAATCTTATAATACTCCAGACCATATTGAGTTTTTAGACATTTTTCTTTAAATATAACAACGTCATGAAATGATATATAGACACAATTATATTCAACACGTTAAAAATGTAACAATATTACAAACCTACGTGAAAAACAAAAATGAAAGGAAATTTCTTGGAGAATATATTTTTGTTTTGAATAAGAGAGTGTTGAGTTAGTGGTAGAATTCTTTTACTAAATGCTTACATGGAAATAATTTTGAAGTTTAATATATATATATATATATATATA